CCCCAGACCAAGCATTGCTGCAAAAGATGTGCCGGTTTTTCCGGTTTTTCAAGCCGTGTTTCCGATTGCGGGATGTGGGGAATTCCGAGAACGAGGGTACCTATTTTGCCGGCGGTGGGGGTTGGGGGGTGGCGGGGCGGGTTTCCTTGAACAAGGAGATCCCCATTTTGGAAATCCCCATGACTCATGTGGCCCTACTGTAACACCCCAAGACCGTACATAATACACTTAGTTCGGATTGATAGTATATACCCCCAAGTATCCCTCATGTCAGGTTGTGTTTGACACTGGCTCTGGGCATTTCATTGTCCCTTCCAAGAAGTGCGAGGCCGCCCTTCCTCCGGAAAGGGTCTATCGGGTCAGTTCTCAAAATCATGATTCCTTTTTGGGTACCCTAGCTTGTAAGGGCCGCGGTATGATGAGGGCCTCAAAAGGGACCATAGTATAGAGAAGTAACCATCGGCTTAGAGTTTAGGCGTCATAGTTTCTAGACTCTGCCTGCACTCTATTTGACTTGTCTTGCGCAGATGCCTGCCTGCTCGAATCACACAGCTTACGCCCCGAGCTTGACGCACTTGTGCATCACCTCCTGGAAAAGAAAGTCATGCCGAAGTCAGAGAACAGAGAACCTCCACGATCATGCAGCTAAGCATTGAGGATCGCAGTCTTTCTTCTTCGGCGGTCGACCTTGATCATGATGGAAACGTTGTTCCTGCAGATTCTGAGCGAGACCAGGCCGTGGCCAGCCAAACTCAGCAGCAAATCAAAGCAAATCAGCGGCAAATGTTTGTGAGGTTGCCATTGCATATGGAACTGGGGAAGTTGTTGGTGAGTTCTCACGCGAGGCACAGTGCTCTTCACAGGTCCACAGTGAGTCTGAATCGCCTCCGACTTGAGAGGCCGTTTGCCTATCCAACTACGAGGGTGAAGTGGAGGAGGCAGCGCTAAAACACCCCGACTGCCTCCAGGCTTGATGGTGCTGGCATGTGCTCTCGTGGTGCATGTGTCATGTATTCCGGATGCGTTCCGGATGTTGTGGACATTTCAGACCTGCCACATTTGGAGGTGAGGGTTGTGCAAGCAACAGAGATGACCGATGAGCCGTTCCAGCAGTTTGAGTGCAGAGCCGAGGGTTCTCACAGCGACCATGAAGAAGCAGCAGAAGAGTGACAAATAGAGGAGACATGATGAGACTTCGACTTTCGAGTCCCATGAGGTTCGATGGAGTTCTTGGACTGGGCTTGGAAAGCTTGGCGCTGGATCCTGAATTCAGCTTCTATGGCCAGCTGACGAGGCTCTGCTGTGTTCTGATGTCTGCCTGCCTGTGACTTTGCGTTTTACGGTTTTATATGAATCGGCCATGCCAGCTTGTTGCCCGTTCCGCAGCCATTCTTGGCAAACCCGAAGCACCTGCTGTTGTCTCTGCAACAGCCAGACACCCAGAGGGTGTGATATTTGCGCGGGACTTTGTGGCAGTGCAGCTTGTTGGCAAGCAGGCTGCATTGTTGCTGCAGATCTCTGCGCTTCAGCCTTCCATTCTGAGTGCACATTGCAGTCCACACGGCCCCAAGCAAAAATGTCAAGCACCCTTGAGAGAGTGATGACCTACCAGTTGTGGAGTACAGCAAGTGGCTCTGCCCACGATGTTGTCTGCGGTGGCATGGCTGTAAGCGCATCAGGCCCATTCTCCCCATCCCCCGCCTCAACCTTGCACACCTGCAATCACCGAAAGTCACAACTAAGGTGCATTCGCCGATTGGTGACGATGCCGCTCTATGAAGAGAAACTTATCAGTCCTTTTGCAGTCCACTTTACGCAGGACCTTGAACCTCTTGAGCCCCTAGTCGGGACAGACACGGCCAGCCGAGCCTCAGAAAACTCGATTGCAGATGGGAGTTGCTACTTAGCAGGCTCAGGAAGCAAGAGGAAGCAATGGAGACTAGAAGCCTCTACTCGTACTGCAGTGGGGGGGGGGGGGGGGGGGGGGGGGGGGGGCAGGACCTGTTGCCAAAGGGGTCCTTTCAGGTGAGTAGAAGGGAAAAGTCATAGAAATGATGTTGCCCGAAGCAGGAGCACATCAAGACCCACTTCCAAGATGGGCGGCTCGTGGAAGCAACGGTTCCAGAAATCCACACAGCCGCCTCAGGCAAGGAACACCTAACACATTGACGAGCAGAGACCGCGGATTAGTTACAGCCTGCTACAGCAGCCCCAAGCTGTTCCAGGAAGTGGAGACTATGACGTCATTTTGAAAGCACCGTTCCCAAACATTGAGATCCTCCGGTGGCACTCGCCGGAAGGTGGAGACAAGGCTCGTGAGAGTCGGATTGCTTTCTTTTGACTGAGCATGGCGCCACTCCTACAATCGGTGCACTTAGCTGACGACTATCAGGCACAGCAATGGTACACGTTGGACAATCGACGGCTTTATTGTTTGCAGCGCATGGCCGTAAAGCAGCTGAGCTTAAGTCATGTCAGATGTGCCACGCCCCGAGATCTGCGGATTCAAGCATGTCTGCAACTGACTGAGGCTTTGGCCGAAGCGCGTGGCAGCTGTTGTTGACATCCTGTACGCAGACAATGGCAAAGTAAGGAGGAAGTTCGACTCCACAACATCAGGACGCTCTGTGACTATATCTCCCTCTGTGAAGGCGTGTGAATGGTGCGTGTTCGGGAAAAGTGCTGCACAGTGCTCACATGCCGAAAGCCTGAGTTTGCGTCACTCCAAAGCAACGGTCACATTTCGGCAATGCGGTGAACATGGTGCACTGAGAATGTGGACCTCTGAGTAAACCTCAGCCCCCTCCCTCCCCCCAAAGCAATGTTGGTGCGAACAGCTCGGTGGCTTTTTAGTCCCCTCAATCAAATCTAGAGAAAGACATTTGAAATGTGGAGCCTGTTCTTCCGGAAGTTTCAGTGGGACTATTCTGGCTGTAGGGCCATCGTGGACTGGCCGTGAAAATTAGATCACCTGGCTGTTTTACATTGAATCTCAAAGGCCTGAGGCCTGAAGCTTGGAATCAACACGCTATAACATGCTGTTCTGCGCGCTTGTTCGCAGTATTCTGGAGCACTCTTCGTAAGTCACTTTGGAGAGTGGAGGTGCCAGCTATCACCCGCTGGGACTGGCGCCTTCACGTAGATGGGGCAGCAGACCCCACAGCGCCAGCAGCCTTTGCAGCTATAGACGCAGATGCGGTGGCTTCGCATGTTTCAGGGCGCATTGCGTCGCTTTCACTGCCCTGCTGTTGCATAAAGCTGCCCCAATGAGAGAATGCCATCAAACTTTCTGGCTTCGCAAACTTAATTGTGGGTGCGGGCGGGAAGTTGGAATTTCGATCGGTGACAGCTGGCTGGCCTCTAGAGCCTCTGGAGGTTGAGCATATTTGTGCCACGCGCGCAGAGACAGTAGAACTCGGCTAAGCTGAAACTTGAACCCCTGCGATTTGAGGCGAAGCCGTCAGTAAGTGACCTCTGCGACGTGCCAGGGCCTGCATTTGAGACTCGAGCTGAACTTCAATGTTTGCTGTGTCTGCAAGGCTCCGTCCCGGTGTCTATTTGGGACTGTAGAGGTTTCATGCGCCATGCTGAGGAAACTGTGCTCCGAGACCAGACTGCGAGCTTCGTTTCCAGCTTGGCGACACTCCTCGGCGCCAAATCGCAGGCACAGGCTTCTCGAGGCACATTTTTGCCAAGACGACAGATTCGCAAAACACTTGCAAAGTGAGCGTAGCTGAACAAGCTGAACATTCACTGACATGTCAGACGCTGTGGTGCCCATGGTGCCATCACCTACGGAGAGTACTGCGGCATCCTCGGACGGCTCTGCAGAAAGCCGCGAAGTCTCGCCGCGCGAGGCGCCCGACTCGACGGCTTCCAAGCACGACCTTCTGTACTGTTAATGTCATGCTACATCCCCTCCACCCTCCCCAAAGCCCCGAGAACCAGCTCTTCCACCTAAAATTGAATCTTGTCTGGAACCCCAACAGCAGTTGCAGCATATCGAGGACATTGCTACTGGTTAGCAAAATCTTGAATCACGCTTTTGCAGGCCAAAGCCGAAGAAAGTGCCCTGGAACAGCAGGCAGTGCGGCTGATACAAGTCCAGCTATGTCAGCCTGGGCGCAAAGGATATGTGTGGCAGCGTAGCTCAGTTTCTCCATGCTGTGAGGCATGTGATCGTGACGTGTATGGTGCTGGTGCTTGCGCGAGACTGGTGCAGAGTAAGGATTGAGAATTGGAATAGCCGCTTTCAAAAACAGCTGGGAAGCCTTCGCGCCTTCTTGGAGAGCAAGCCGGCCCCATGCCAAGACCTGCGTCGTTGCAGGAGGCCGATTTTCACCTCAGCCGCCTGTGTGCAGACCAGGATCTCTTCCTGGTGAAGCCCGGCAAAGGACGAAGCTACAGGGTGGAGGTTCCACGGACAAATCAAGTACATCTAGATAAAGCCATGAAGACACACGTATGCTCTGGGCTGCAGGCGGTTCCACCAAGCCAAGACTCTGGGGCCACCGCGAAGAAGTGGCATAAGAAAGGAACTCAACGATCCAGCGTCTTGACATGACATCAAATACCACCAAGCGTGCTGGAGATGTGCTGAGGTTGTGCTGATGCAAAGCTGACTGTTCCGCCAGAGCACATGAGCACACACTTCTCAGGAACTGGACCCGAAGCAGCTTAAAGTGGCTTAAAGTTCCAAATGCCATTGGGCCTTTCCCAAAGTGCGGCATACTGGAGATGGTTTTGTGAATTCGCTTTCCATAACCTGGATGACTTTCAATAGCTCACGAGCAGCAAACCTGTACCTGGGCTTGGTCGGCAGTTCGCAGTTGGAGTCCACTGTAGGCAGTGGTGTCGACAGCCACGCAAGAGCCTCATTTTTGCAACCGCGTCGCCGTATGAACACTGGGCTGGAACGTCCGAGTGTTTGCGGGAATCTGCTGTAACACGGACAGAGGCCGCCTCTTGTCAGGGCGCCTCGAATCGAACTGTTATCTTGCGTTGGCTACACGACAACTGCGATCAATTGTGTACAATGAGCTACAACCCCGTAGAATCACAAACTGCACGCATGGATCTTGCCTCAGCGACCTCAGCATGTGCCCAGGAATCCACTGTACAGATTCTTCTCATTTGCCAGCGAGGTGTGTAACAAGATGCTCCACCGAACAGTGGCACAATGTTTTCCTCGCCGGTTGCCGAACAGAGCTAGGCGCGAGCACGTGCATTGAGCTCTCACAGGAGAGGACCTACTCGTATCATTTTGGAGCCATATACATACACCTTCGGGCCAGGATGCATGATCTAAAACAGGCCAGCTTGGCATGGATGCAGAATTAGCTTGGCCCCCCCCCCCCCCCCGCCCCCCCCTCCCCGCCCCCCTGGCCCCCCCTACCCCCCGCCCCCCCCCACCGTCACAGAAGTAGCTCTCTCTGTGCATGCACCTTTTGGACACAAAGGTGAATGTGATGCAGCTTCTGCAACTGCTACCGGAAACCGAATCGTCGCCCAGCCAGGATGAGCCAGTTGGAGCCAATCTTCGGCGTCTTCATCGCTAAAGAGGATTGCCGCTGCGTGTTGAGTCTCTTCCCCAAAATGGAAGCTGGGAATCACCTGGAGGACAAAGATGCGAGCGAGATCTCCCTGGGTGGTCATGGCCTGGACATTCTTCGAAGACCAGGGATGTGTCATGCAGACTCATAATTATTATATACATATATATCTGTTTATACCTATGTACATAAGAAGGATGGAGGGAGAGTGAGCGAGAGAAGGAGCAAAACAAAGAGAAGAGGTTGTCTGCCCTGTTCGCCCTACGCAAGACCTCGGACTCTCGCCCCCTTCGGGGCGGCTGCCCTTCGGGGGGGCCTTGCGTGGGGAGAAGGGAGAGAGGGGGCTTTGCGTGTGGAGAGAGAGAGAGAGGGAGAGAGAGAGAGCGAGCGAGGCCCTAGAGTGCGCAGAAGAAGACGACGAGAGCGAGGGCGGGAGGGAGGGAGGGACGGGAGAAGAGGAAGGGAACCTGCACCCCCCCAATGAACGAGAGCGGATCCCACCGGGCAGCCCTAAAGCATGTAGAAGAAAAAGAGAAAGGATTCTACTGAATGGGGTCCGAACCATACCCCTTGAGCGCTGTCGTGCCGGAGCAACTAGGCCCCATCCCGCACATCTGTGGGAAGGACAAGAAGACAGAAAGACATACAGCAAGAGCGCATCGGATGAGCATCATAAATACACTCGCCGAACGACAGGGCCGCTCAGGCTCAATTCCCGGTACCGAACTAACCGCACGCCCTTTCTCCAAACGGAGAGTTACCTACGCTCCAATTACCACTCTTTCAGGTCCGGCCCCCAGCATTCGAGACACGGCATGCGAAACGAAACTTGTGGCCCCGTCGTGAGGTTCTCATGGCGAAGCAACATCTCTTTGAGATTGCCGCAAAGATTGCCGTGCTCATTCTGCGACCTGCCGTAGAGATTCAGCAATTCAGCACTTACCCAGCAGATGCCGGCATGTCTACTTGTGGCTACCGTGAGTGGAACCGAGATCCCCGAACTTCGTCGAGTGCGCAGACAGCCCTGGGATGGGGGATGCGCCCCTAGGCTGAACATGGCATGGCTGAATGGAGAGAAGAAGTGATAAGTACAGAATGGAGGTCAGTGGAGCGCCTGAACCAAAATCTCACGACGGCGCCAAACAAAAAACCTCCACAAGCAGTTTCAGATGTACTTAAGAATTCAGACAAACGAAGATATGCATCATGAACGCATGATGATAGAGAGGCTACGAGTTTATACGTTCGGGGGTTGGCTTCTGAAGTTGGCATACCAGTCGGTTGAGCCCCAGGGTTTGGAAATCGGTGAATCAAGCTGCGACAAACTCCTGGGTTACACTTGATACAACACTTAGAGGCTTGCGTCAGGAGGGCTGCCAAGAGCTGCCAAGCCTTTCTAAGGACTTCCTTCCTTGCAGTCCCTCCCCTCGGCAAGTTAGCCGCTGCACCAGACCTTGCTTCGGCTCTTGCAGCCCTCAAGGCCAAGCAGAGCGCGAAGCAAGCAGGTGAAGCAGGTGAAGCAAGTGAAGCAAGTGAAGGTGCTGCTGTGGAGGGTCAAGTCAAGGCTGAGCCTGTCAAGATCTTGGACCAGAGCTGCAACGGCACCCAAGCTGCTCCGGGTTTGGCCGGTGATCTTGCTGCTCTACTAGCCAAGAAGGAAAAAGAAAACCAGACACAGGCTTTGGCAAAGCCATCTACAGACCACTTGCATACAGTTCGCCTTATCAAGCAGTACGTCCCCATCGAGAAAAACGGCAGCGTTGTCGCGTATAAGACTGCATATTTCGGAAACATTCACGTGGGGAGTCCACAGCCACAAAACTTCACAGTGGTGTTCGACACTGGCTCTGCCCACTTGGTTATACCCAACAGTGCCTGCCAGCGTGACACATGCCTCAAACACAATCGCATCCTGCTGATGTTGCTGGCAAGAGTTTTCTATCTAACATGTTTTGCTACGTTTGCTTTGGCTTGCGCTGCTGTCGTGTAGCACTTGGGCAGACTAAGGATACAACGAGTCGATGTCGGAGAGCGCGATTCCTATAGAGCATGATGGCACCGTACTGCCAAAAGGCGGTATCTCCCAGCACTCTGTCAGCATCACCTTTGGCACAGGAAAGGTTTCAGGGACTTTTGTCAAAGACAAAGCATGCTTGGGTGGCGCGGACTCAAACAACCCCGGCTGCGCAACCGTCAACATGGTTGTGGCCAACGACATGAGCGACCAGCCTTTCAGCTTGTTTCACTTCGATGGGATTTTGGGGCTGGGCTTGGAAGCCCTTTCCCTCGGCCCTGGATTCAGTTTCTTTGGGCAGATGGCCGCCGAGCTTCCACAGATGCAGTCACGCTTCTCGGTCTTCTTGGCCCGTAGTGACCAAGGCCAAAGCAGCATCTCCTTTGGAGGGCACGATGAGAGCAAAGCCGCGTCGGGCTTCTCCTGGGTACCCGTGGCCAAACCAGAGCTGGGCTATTGGCAGGTTCAAGTCTTTCAGGTGCGCATCGGTGACACCGTCCTGGACGAGTGCGCCGACGGAGGCGCGAATTCCATCTGTGAAGTCTTTTGCTGGGGCAGAAGGGACATGCCCTGTCGGCTGTCATGTGACACGTTCGTCCGTTCGGCCTCTGTAGAAGCATCTTGACTACGAGTTTCGTTCCAAGAATCAGTGCTGCAGAATTGTTGCTGCGTGCGCTATGCATGCTAGTGGTGTTGGTTCAGGGTGAACCAAGTACTAGCAGCTTTTGTACTGCAAGTGGCCCCTGCCCTGTCTCTTTCGGAGGCTGTCGTGCTATCCTGGACACGGGCACGTCACTACTTGGAGCTCCCCGCCAGGCCGGGATGTAAACTTGAAGAACCGAACGGCAGACCGAATTTCAATAGAATGAAAGGACGCCAAAAGCCTGGCACACATCCATTCTTCGACCATAGTGCTGATTCTAGTAACTACTTGTAGATGCAGATTCCCCAGCTTGGATGCTTGCCAGCTGCAGCAGGGTGGCTGGGTCCGCAATCACCTTAGGTCTCCGAGTGAGTCTCCCCGGCGCTGAACTCTAAACCGTTATGTCAGAATGATATTCTAGACATCGTATCAAGGTAGAGCTACTCTTTTTCTCTGTTGCAGCATCCTTCAAAGTTTAACGCTACGCGACCCGCCTCGGCCGGGGCCTGCCCAGCGGCGAGGCAACCGAAAGCGGAGGTCGTGGGTGCGAAGGTGCTATAGGCTTCAGGGCCTTGAGAGGCTTCGAGCCCTGTTGTATCTTGCAGGCTCATACGTAGACCAGGCACCCCACATGTGAGGGTTGTTCTAAACCCCCCGCTCTTGACGTAGTACTACAGACGCGATTTATTCATAAGACCACTCTTGTAAAAGCCTTCCAAACATGGTGTGCACGCAAGAACGCGCAAGGGCGGGCGCAAGTGCGTGCAGGGGGCATATTTAATATATCAATACAAATACAAAGCCATCTACATGAGAACTTTGTAACATAAGATATTATGCAAAAATTGGTGTGCGCGCAAGAAGTGCGCAAGCGCGCGCAAGGGCGGGCGCAAGGGGTATTTTTACGTAACTCGTCGGAACAAGAATATCGATCAACCCCCATGTGGGAGCGAAGAAAAGCCGGTGGGTAGAGGTGAGGGGGTAGGCTTGACAGGGGAGTGGGCAGGTGGTCGGGGGTTAGTGGGGGTGGGGGGAAAATTTGTGTGATGCCCCAGGACTCGCTCCCGGACACTAGGAGACCCATTCCAAGTAAAAAAGTGCCGGTGCACGTTGGGGAGGGGATTAGTGGTGGGGTAGCTGCTTTATGATACCCAGACACCCACGGCCCGAGGCCTCGGCAGGGTTGGTCTTTGATCATATGCCACACATTGCAGCTTTGCATGTGCTCCCCCTCCTCTCTGTTGGTCGAACAAATTGCTTGCTGTGAAGTTCAACAAAGCGCGCTAGCACATGCTGACGCCATTGCAAGCTGCCTTGCGGCACACAGCCGCAGCCTGTCACTGCTTCCGCTAGCTTTGATGCTCCCACCCACACGTGACATTCTGAGCCAGCACGGTGTTGAGGATGGCTGTTTGGAATCAAGCACCATTTTCTTGCAAGCGGGCCTGGTGTTGCATCACCACCAGTTCTTTGGAGTCAGGCTAGTTAGTTTAAGTAGGCTGGCTTAAGTAGGCTGGCGTGCGACTGAGTGGGATACCTCGGATACGTATGTTCGAGGCGTCTTGTGGGCTTCCCCCTGCAAACTTGAAGCAACCCTCAAGCCCTCGGAGGCCATCAAGACGCTCCACTCGCTGCTATCTCGAAACGTCCTGCTTGCTCCACAGGGCATTGGCAACGGGGAAGGACAGAGCATGTCACAACAAGTCGCTGTCCTGACTTGGCATAGTCTTGCGAAGATCGTGTTGCAGGCTTCGTGACACAAGAGATGGCAGACGAAGCTTTGGCGAAAGACTGCAGAGAGCAGGAGCTCCTGCTGTTTGTTCTTACTTGCTCGGGTACACATGGCACACCAGTCGTCAGTCATCAGAAGTCATGGATTGCAGCCGGTGGTTACTCCGTAAGTCGCTAATAGACCAAAAACATAAATTAAATGCATCTTGTCTTCATACATCGCGGCTGTGTTAGTAATGGCAGGCATGTAAGTGCACAGGTATGCATGGATGGGTATGATCTATGGCCCTTTCTAAGGGTTTCCACGGCCCTTACCCCCATCCACCCCTTATTGTACGTCCGGTAGGTGTTCCCAAACTGGATGTTTGTGATCACGTCTGTCCCAACTGAAACTGTATTCTCAACTTACCAACTGGTTGCAACCCTAAACCCTGAGCCCACAAAATCCTTGCAGGAGGGCGCCCTTCTGACGTTCGACTTGGGCCCGGAAGTTCCCGGAATCGCTCTGGACCCCGAGGACGCTTTTGGGGTTGGGGTTGAGGGTGCTTCCTGAAAACTTACATGGAGGTTGAGCTGGCAGCCAAGGACGCCGGCAAGACAAGAGCGAGAGAGAGTAAGATTGGATCGCATAAGGAAGAAGGCCTAAACTCAGAAACGTAAGTACAAGCTTTGCAGAGAAAAGTGCTTTGCCGCTGAGAATGGGCTCACTCAAAGGCAGAGCAAGGTCTTTAGTCCAGTGGTCCCAGACCGTTCTGAAGAGCGTCGCAGGATTACTTTCGGCCAAAGCCTTTTAACATGACGGCCTGGTGCTCAGACACGTCTCAAGTCAGGCACGTCTCAAGTCAGACAGCAGAAGGTATGTTGCGTGAGTCTTTCCGAAATCTTCACATCTCCGGCACTGCCACACCAGTAATTCAAGTCTAACCAAGCATTAGCCATTTGCAGCCCCAGGTGCCTGAAGCTCCAGATGCCTGGAAGCTGACCTGTCGATCCCTCCTACTTCCGCTGGACCTAAAGGACTCCATTTCTTCCAGAAGGTTCGCCTCGCCTTAGCTCCTTGCTCCATTAGACGCTGAGTGGCTGTGGGTCTCGTGCAGCACAGCCACAGGAGCCTCTGGGGCCGCGGACCTTCATCTTAGGCGAGCCGGTGTTGAGGAGCTTCTGGCAGTTTCGCTCCACGGCGGGTCTACGGATCAAACCAACCTGTGCTGTATCTCGCCGTGTTGCAGGAAGTACTACACAATCTACGCGTTCGCCCCAGACTCCATCTCTTCCCTGTTGCGACAGTTCAAGTAGACACGAGACATGAGTGAGTGAGTGAGTGTGTGTGTGTGTGTGTGTGTGTCAGTGAGAGTGCGCCTTGATGCGGCACACGTGGCTGCGGATTGGCTGCTGTATGCACTGCACAAGGATTGGGCCGCTCGCCGTGTCGGCTTTGCAAAAGCCGATCACAGCCAGGATGGCGAGGTCGAGGGCGCGATCGACTCACCAGAGGCTGCTCTGATCGCATTGCTTTGCAGCTCACCGCGCTTGCCTCCGCGCCACAATCTCGCAAAGGAGGGATCCCTCATCGCAGGGGCACCGCTGAGCAGAAAAGGCGCATGTGTGGCAACACCTAGGAGAGCGACCTGGGTTCGTCAGTGCTTTGCCCTCATTGCCAGGCAACAGCAGCATCTCTACCGGGAGCATTGCGTGATCGTGTCTTGCACATCACAAGATCTGATTCGCATGGTGCAGCTGAAAAAGAAGCGGTGCTCCTGCCCCTAACATTGCAATGCCCGGATGCAAACGTGGGTACTTGACGCCACGGTGCCCACCTTTCCTATAAAGAAGTGCCACTGGCATTCTGGCTGGCTTCAAACTGGAATTGAGCACATAACAGCCAGTCCCGAAACAAAAGCCTTGACTCGAACCAGCGTTCACCACCTGAGGTATCAACATGGACAGAGTAGCTTCAGAGCTTCATTGGGCACCAGCGATGGCCCCAGCACTGCCCAGCAGCCTCGGGTGCCAATTAGTCATTGCCAGTCCTTGCATGTCAGTCGCGTGAGCCTAATGATCTTGTGAGTCAAATCGGGTCAAATTCTTGCTCTGTGTAAGGTAGCAAAGCCAGAGCATGGGCACTGGCAGCTTGCTGTAAGAAGAATACGAGTAGGCGTCCGCGGCTGAGACTTGATCAAGACGGTGGACAGTTTCAACTAGCTACATGAGAGTCACTTCGTTGACTGGATCATGCTGTCTCTGGACCAAGAACGAGACAGTGGACCTCTGCGACACGGGCGACTGCACAGCCATTGCAGACACTGGAACCTCTCTCATCGGTGTGCCGAAGGTCCAGCACACGTGTGGGTCGCGCAGTGAAGAATGGCGGCCATAGCTGATGCCAGGCCTACGTCCAGAAGATGCACTGGCTCTTGGCACGGCGGGTGCGCTGCATGGCACTGCACATGCCGTACCGGTGATCTCCAACTCTCAAAGCACAAATGCTCAAAGGCACCAAACTCCACCCCCAAAGTAACGCGCCTGAGGCTCTCCTTAACCTCCCCGCTCCCCCAGCTTCATCCCCTAAGCTCGAAGACTTCCAACATCTCAAGCCCTCACCTGTGGTTCAGCAGGTTGACGATGAGAAAGTTCCACCGGCAGACTCCTCTGAGTATTTTGACTGCCGGAACCAGCCAGGGTCAGATCCCCGAGTTGCGTGGTACGACCACACAGCTTTGGCTTGATTATGGTTCATGATACTGTACACAGAGTCATAGTGTTGCTGGCGTGGTGATTAGGCCCGACATCGTTTTTGATCTTGGTGATGGGCTGGAGCTGACGGTCGGTGCGGAGGACATTTGAGCGATCGCCGGCTATCCCTAGCTCAGGCAGCTACAGAAACGTGCCAGGAATACTCCCGTCCAGCAGCCCTGCGTGTTATCACCAACGCCACTGGTGAGGCTGGGTCAAATGAACCCCAGTTTGGGAGTCATCTCTGCCCCATGCTGAGAAGGAAAGCATGTTCTCGATTCTGGCAGGAGGAGCTCATTTGCAGAGCTTCTCTCCTACCCGTCGAGGAGATTCCGTCCATCGGCCATGTGCCAAGTCGGGCCTGCAGACTGGCACCTTACCGCAGATATCTACATATATATATATATATATGTATATTTATTTGTTTTTGTAGATTTATATATAGAAATATATATATTTTAAGGGGCTGCGCCCATGGGCGGGCAGCGCAGGCAGGAGCGCGGGGCGAGCAGTTTCTAAGCATTTTGAGGCCCCTATAAACTCCCTTAAAATCTCTAAGCGTTCGAGGCTCCTCAACTCCCTTAAAGTTTCTAAGCATTTTCAGGCCCCTAAACTCGTTTGAGGCTCCCAGACTCCCTTAAAGTTTCTAAGCACTTTATAAGGCCCCTAAACTCCCCTTTTCCTAGCCCCGGGCTTAGACACATCGCTTATGCCCGCCCTTTGGGGGGCATCATGCTCCTGATGCGCCCCCGGGGTCCCGCCCCGGGAGCCGCTGATGCTCCTGATGCGCGCCTGGGGGTCCCGGGCTGGACCCGCTGATGCTCATGATGCGCGCCCTCTGGGGGCCTCCGTGGCGACGCAAAAAACAACGAAAAAAGAACCGTTCACCGGCGGCACGCGGGGGTCGGCGGCACTGGCGTCCGGCCTAATTCTGCTTCGCAGAAGGCCAGAGGCCAGCAAGGCTATTCCCGGGACGACCCGGGCTAGAAGGTCCGCATTTGCTCGGTCCTTTGGGGACCTCGCGCTGCCCGATTTAATGGCTGCCGCCAGTGCCGCCGACCCCTGGAAAGAAGGACGTGCAGGATGTCGCCAGGTCGCCTCATCGCGTCCCACAGGTCACTGCGCATGTGGAGCTGAAATCAGGACCCCATATCGCAAATCTGCGACTACACTAGGCAAGCCCTGGGTTCCAGCTCGGGCTTCTAGCACTGGTCGACTCGATCGTGCATGCACAGCATTGTCTAACCCTTCTTGATAAGAAGGCAAAGGTTGCCACTTATTCGGATGCCCGTGGGCCTTGGCTCGGGCTTTCTTGCACAGGTCGATAGCGATCGTGCATTTTTTTTTGTATGGAAAGGCTTATTTCTAGAAAGGCCAGCATTGAGGACGAGGCCACGCAATGCTCCTTGGGTAAACACGACATGGCAAATGCCGTCCGCCTCAGGTTTCCCAGATTCTGCCATTGGGATCATCATTCTGCGCAGCATTTGCCGGCCTGGTCTCTTTGCAGACTGGCAACAATCTTGTGCAACAGCCTGCAGTTCGAGGATATGTGCAACTACGACCAGCTAATGTGAGTAATTGCTCAGTCGCCCAGATTTGGATGTAAGAGTCCTTGTCGGCAGCACCTGCCGACAAGTTTACGTCAGCCCTTTGGTCAAGCCGCGGTGCCGGAGCAGCTGCTCGAGGCCGGCCCGGGGTTGGAAGTTTGGGGTACGGAGGGGTTAATTAAGGCTCCGGGGGGTCAGGGGTTTAGGGTTGAGGTGTTTATGGGTGTATCGAACACCCAAGATGCCCCAACGTTTAAGCCCTAGCACCCAAACTCCAAACCCTGATCAGAACCCAGGTTTTAGGGATTGGGGTTTAAGGCCATGGGCAGCCATCGCGCGCCGGTCCGAGGGTGACTCGCTGTGGGGGCTGGCAGTGGGGAGTCCGGGTCAGCTTCGGCCTGGCCCGAAACCTAGTTGCCCTGGGTGATGCTTTTGTTTCGCGTGACGTCTGTGTTTGCCGGACTTGGGGTCGGCGAAGTCCTCGGACTTCTGCCTGGCCCCGAGGCTGGCAAGCCCTGTGAGAGTTTTGCAGGACTTGGGGTCGGCGAAGTCCTCGGACTTCTGCCTGGCCCTGAGGCTGGCAAGTCATTGGGTTTTGCCGGACTTGGGGTCGGCGAAGTCTTCGTACTTCTGCCTGGCCCCGAGGCTGGCAAGCCTTTGTGTTTTGCCGGACTTGGGGTCGGCGAAGTCTTCGGACTTCTGCCTGGCCCCGAGGCTGGCAGACTTTGCTTGTGCTTTGCGGGACTTGTGGTCGGCGGGGTCTCCGGACCTCTGTCTGGCCCCCAGGCCGGCAAAGTTTGTCTTTGCTTATTGTTTGGCATGCCAGGACACGCACGCAGCCTGGAGGCAGGGAGCTAGGCAGGGAGCTTCCGGCGACAGGGTACTTGAAGTTGCACCCATAACCCTAAACTCCAAACCCACTCTAAACCCTAAGGCCTAAACCCTAAACCCCACTCTAAACCCTAAACCTTAAACCCTAAACCTTAAACCCTAAAGCCTAAAGCCTAAACCCTGAACCCTAGACCCTAAACTCTAAATTCTAAACTCTGAACCCTAAACCATAAACCCTAGACTCTGTACCCTAAACTCCAAACCCGAAACCCTAAAACCCTAAACTTTCCCCCGCACTTGTGCCGCGCCCTCCCCTCCCAACACGCGGGGGAGCACAGCTTAACAGCTTGTCAGGCCCGAAAAGTCGCAGAATTGTACTCGCCCGCGCTTGTGCCCTCCCTCGTTCTCCCGAGAGCCAGGCGAGAACAGTTTCAGTGCATTTCAGGCTTGAAAAATTGCACTTCCCCCCCTCCCCCGCCCCGCCAAAACGGGGCAGAGTACAGTTGTGGAGTCTCTCAGACCGGAAATGTCCCAGAAGTGTGCTCCCCCGCGCTTCTGCTGTTTTAGACACACTACAAACTCCGTCAACTCAGTTTGCAAACCCTAGCAACATACCGACAAGCCCGCCCATCCTTCTAAGGGGGAGTCGAGCTCGGAGACTCCGCGCGCTCGGCGTACGGCCCTAACTCCTCTAAACCTTTAAGATCCTTTAAGGGTTTAGGGCTTAGGGTTTAGGGTTTAGGGTTTGGGGTTAAAGTCTGAGTGCTTAGGGTTTAGGGTTTAGGGTTGAGTGTTTAGGCGTCTTGGGGCTCAGTTTCGGGCTGCACGGTAAAGCCTAAACCCCAAGGGTGGAGTATTCAGACGAACGATGTCCTAGTGGGCGGAGGGAGGTGAGTGTATAGGTGTTGCTCGCCTCTCATCCTGCCACCAGGCGACATCCGGCGCACGCAGCGTCGCGCATCTATCGAGGAGTTTTGGGTTCACGATTGTCTGGCTGGTCTTTCATGCGCCCACATGCCCGATTTGTTCGACATGGTGACTGTGTGCCGACATCGCAGCCGCTCAAAGCAGCAGGACACGCAGGTTGTGTGTTGGAGGGCAAGCCTGGTGTCAGCAGCCGCTGTAATTCCAACTCCAAGAATGTATATTCTAGCTGTTGATGTTTCAAAGCTCCTAGCTGGAACTACGAGGGTGACCCCAACGTTTACCCGCCCTAGACTTTGAACTTGCTTGACCTCGCAAACGAAGACACCTGAATCCTGAAACCCTCAGCCCTAAAAAACCCCGCACTGCAGCTCGAATAAGAGTGAGCGTTTTTTGTTCTGTGCGCCGTGGAGCCGTGCCAGTCGCCGGTGCTTGGGTATCTTGGCATGGATTCCCATTCCTATGACCAACACGTCTGCTGCAGTCTATGTAAGCCATTGCGACTTTTGCTGATTCAGGCTGGTTACGACACCCCGGAGCAGCCGGGCAAGATGGAGCCTCCTATGGAGAGGGATGAGGCACTCTGTCGGCGTTCGTTCCACTTCGACCCCTTCTTAGTTTTGAGCGCTGAGACCCCCCGCTCAGTGTCTACGCCGGCCACGGAGCCGCCTTCCATCGAGACCTGACGGCAGATTCAGAGCGTCCGGAAGCCAGCATACATCAGTACAGCTGACTCGCTCTCAAGTTTGATATTTCAGGCCCCGATCACAGCAGGACTAGCTTCCCCAACGCCCATCGCTGTGGTACCTGAACCGGCGGAAACGGTGCCAGTGCCGATCCAAGAATCTGGACTGCAAGAGGACGCCGCCTGAGTAGTATTGTTGGAGGGGTTTGAAATTCAAGTGCATCTGACAGAAGTCTCTGTGTTTGCAAGGCGCCCTCAACGCCATCGCCCGCAATCGCCGGTGGAGTCGGAGACCTGGGTTCCGACGGAGGTGGCGTCAGAGGAGGTGTCTCCGCCCATGGAGGCTGAATCTTGGACCTGCGTCTGATGTGGCACATCTCGGATATCACTCAAGACCAGTTGAACTACTGTAATTGTGAAGGCGGATCGCCCGTAAGGCGCGCCTGCGTTGCGCGCTCTACGGCTGCGTGATGCGGCCTGACGTGAACAGTCTACAGCGGCACAGCATGCTCAGTATCCTCGACATGCTGCATCTTCCGTAGCTTGGGTTTGAGCCTCCAGCTGCCAGCGTAGCCTGTTTGCAAGTAACAGGCCGGGGCTTGGTCGCATGCCGTCGTGTGCCGTGCCACCCGCCGCAGAGGCACGCACGCCCGCACGCGACAGTGCTGACTGCAGCAAAGGGCATCGGCAGCGCGGCCGGTACGGGCGTGCTGTGGAGTCGGAGGCTGGTAGTGGTGGGCGGTGTGGGCGGTGGGGGGTGGGGGCGGTGGGGGCGGGCATGCGCTGGAAGTAGCCAGTGGCCCCGAAACGTGGCAGGGGGAGGTGGGGGCGGCGCTGGAGCCCCTTAAAACATCTCAAAGAAGGTAGCCAGTGGCCCTGAAACGTGGCAGGCGGAGGTGGGGGCGGAATGGACTTGCTGGGGCCCTGAAACGTGGCAGGGGAAGGCCCTCAAACGTGGCGGTGTGGGCGGTGGGGGCGGTGGGGGCGGCGGGGGCGGGCATGCGCTGGAGCCCCGTAAAACATCTCAAAGAAAGTAGCCACTGCCCTGAAACGTGACAGGGTGGGGGCGGAATGGGCTCGCTGGGGCCCTGAAACGTGGCAGGGGAAGGCCCTCAAACGTGGCGGGGAAGGGTGGTCGGTGGGCGGTGTGGGCGGTGTGGGCGGTGTGGGCGGTGGGGGCGGTGGGGGCGGTGGGGGCGGTGGGGGCGGGCATGCGCTGGAGCCCCTTGAAACATCTTAAAGAAGGTAGCCAGTGGCCCTGAAACGTGGCAGGGGGAGGTGGGGGCGGAATGGACTTGCTGGGGCCTTGAAACGTGGGAAGGCCCTCAAACGTGGCGGGGGGGAGGGCGGTGGGCGGTGTGGGCGGTGGGGGCGGTGGGGGCGGTGGGGGCGGTGGGGGCGGGCATGCGCTGGAGCCCCTTAAAACTTTTCAAAGAAGGTAGCCAGTGGCCCTGAAACGTGGCAGGGGGAGGGGGGGCGGATGGACTGCCCTGAAAAACGGGGGGGGGGGCGGTGGGCGGTGTGGGCGGTGGGGGCAGTGGGGGCGGTGGGGGCGGGCATGCGCTGGAGCCCCTTAAAAACATCTGAAAGAAGGTAGCCGGTGGCCCCGAAACGTGGCAGGGGGAGGTGGGGGCTGGGGAATGGGCTCGCTGGCGCCCTCAAACGTGGCGGGGGGGGGGGGCGGCGGTGGGGGCGGTGGGGCGGTGGGCTATGCGCTGGAGCCCCTTAAAAACATCTGAAAGAATGTAGCCAGTGGCCCCGAACGTGGCAGGGGGAGGTGGGGGCGAATGGGTTGGCTGGGGCCCTGAAACGTGGCAGGGCAAGGCCCTCAAACGTGGCGGGGAAGGGGGGGGGTGGGTTGGGGCGGTGGGGGCGGTCATGCGCTGGAGCCCCTTAAAAACATCTGAAAGAAGGTAGCCAGTGGCCCCGAAACGTGGGCAGGGAGGTGGGGGCGGAATGGGCTCTGAAACGTGGCAGGGGAAGGCCCTCAAACGTGGTGGGGGGGGGGCGGTGGGCGGTGTGGGCGGTGGGGGTGGGGGCGGTGGAGGCGGGCATGCGGCGGGGAATCGGTGGGCAGCGGTGGAGGCGGTGGGGGCGGTGGGGCAGGCATGCGCTGGAGCCCTGGGGGCGGAATGGACTTGCTGGGGCCCTGAAACGTGGCAGGGGAACGCCCTCAAACGTGGCGGGGGGGGGGGGGGGGGGGGGGCGGGTGGCGGTGGGGGCGGTGGGGGCGGGCATGGTGCGCTGGAGCCCCTTAAAAACATCTGAAAGAAGGTCGCCAGTGGGCCCCGAAACGTGGCAGGGGGAGGTGGGGGGCGGAAAGGTACCAGTGGCCCTGAAACTGGGCGGATGCTTGCTGGTCCCTGAAACGTGGCAGGGAAGGCCCTCAAACGTGGCGAAAAGGGGGGCGGTGGGCGGTGTGGGCGGCGGGGGCGGTGGGGGCGGTGGGGGCGGGCATGCGCTGGGGAGTGGGAGGTGGGGGCGGAATGGACTTGCTGGGGCCCTGAAACGTGGCAGCAGAAGCCACTCAAACGTGGCCGGGGGGGGGGCGGTGGGCGGTGTGGGCGGTGGGGGCGGTGGGGGCGGCGGGGGGGGGGAGGGGGGGCCCTGAAGCGAGGCCCTCGTCGGGGGAAGGGGGGCGGTGGGCGGTGTGGGCGGTGGGGGCGGTGGGGGCGGGCATGCGCTGGAGCCCCTTAAAACATCTCCAAGAAGGTAGCCAGTGGCCCTGAAACGTGGCAGCGGGAGGTGGGGGCTGAGGAATGGGCTCGCTGGGGCCCTGAAAGGCCCTCAAACGTGGCGGGCTCGCTGGGGGGTCGCTTAGGGGGGACGGGGGGGCCCTGAAACGAGGCCCTCAAACGTGGTGGGGGAAGGGGAACTGGGACAAGTACCGGGACCGAAGAAGGAGTGGGGATACGTGAACTATGAGACAATATCGCTTTCATGAACAAACAGGACTGGGACAAGTATCGGGGGCGAACCGGAGTGGGATACGTGAGCTCTGAGAGCATCGCTTACACGGACAGACGAAGGCTTCACGGGCGCCAACCCCTTAGGGGGGTCGGCGGATATATATAGAGAGAGAGAAATCTATATATATATATATATATATCAGATGCATGGTCCACGGTGCTGGGAACTGAGGTCCCAAGGCATGGATCTTGGGCGAGCCGGTGCTTCGCAAGCATCCACCCCAGGTTGAGCTGTTGAGTCCGTTGAGTGTGGGAGGCTGTGTCACTGTTGAGTTAATGTTGGGACTCCTGCTCGCAAAGGTACTACTCAGCATACGACTGGAAGAAAGAGACCGTGGCTCAGGGTCGTGTGCTGCAGAGCTCTTCACCAGCGAGAGCACCTGGATGCCATCATTCCTGGTCCACAGCACACTGAATGCCCCTGTCATTACGTGTCGGCAAAGGCCGCATCAGATTCTACAATAGACTCAATAGACGGCCGCTAAAAGACAAGGAATCTCAACAGCAGGACGAACAGACTCGGCCGCTAAAAGACAAGGAATCTCAACATCAGGACGTACAGACTTAGAAGTGTCGCCTGGCCAATGGAATGGCAGATGACCGCCCACGGCTGCGGCTGAGGAGGATATTGGCATCAAGACGGTGCTAGCTTGTGGCTTGTGATTTCTTGCAACCGACGGGAGGAAATCAGCACCTGGCCGAAATGATCCTGGAATGCTGCCTATCGCGAACATACTAGATTTGCCAGAGCCTTGTCTGCATTGGATAAAGGCAAAACGTGCCACCCTAAAACAGAAAAGCGCCGGTATCAAAACTGCAGCTCAGGTGAGTTTGCTTCGCAGCATCCTGGAAGCAAGCTCACTGGCTGAGCTGGCTGCATATCAGCTGGTGAACAGGCAATGTCAGCAGACTTTGCGAAGCATCACGCGGGAGGTGCGGGGAGGAAGCTGACAACCATAATTAAACCCGAGCATGAAGTAAGTTGTGCAGGTCTGCTTGCACGAAGCAGCCGATTCGTGCCTGTGCCATTCTGTGTCGCACACTGCACGCATTTCCGAAGTTGGTTCTTGCCAAGCGCTTCCCTGCAGGCCACAGTGCCCTTCAACGTGTTCTTGTTGATTGACAATGCTTCTGCTGGGCTGGAGGCCCGAAACACTTCGAACCACTCTGCAACAAAAAATGGCAACACCAATTTTTTTCATCCAAGATTCAAATGAAGACATCTCTATATGTCATTGAAGCACTACCAGACATGTGCCAGTGTAATTTGTCTTTGCTTCGTTGTTTTTGCCTCACCTTTGCCATCCGTGATACCTGTGGCAGGTATGCGAACTGTGCGCCTTTCGATCACAGTCTTGGAGCCCAACGAGACCATTCACGATCTCGGTAAAGCTACCAAGCTCGGAGCTGGACCTGAGTTCACATTTTACATGTCGAGTTCAGGGTTTAGGGACTCCTCATTAATTCACCCCACCGATGGTGGTATGTGAAAGAGTGATGCACAGGACGTATGGATGGATCGATTGACGCAGCTTTGTCCATGCCGTGTTCTGGGGGTGCCCCGATTTGAGCTGACAGGCCCGAATTGCAGATAGCTTGATCGACTTACCTTTCTGAGGGCGAGGGCATTCACTTGGCTTTTTGCAGTCGGCTCTTGCAAGGAGTGGCAGGAGTGTCGGAGCTGTCCGAATTGAAATTCCTTGGAGCCCAGCTGGGGCAGGTCAAGCACGTGCGCTTGGAGTCCCTTGAGGACAGAGGGGGTGTGATACTCGTATGCGAGTACGGAGTACTTGAATCCCCCAAGCACTTGCAGGAGGAAGATGTTACCAGGTTCGCTTCTCTTCTGCCAAGCATGCCCCTCGAATCGCTGCAGATAAAGGACTTTGCAATCGACAGGCCTGCTTGCCAAAGCTCAAAGCTGATGTGTGGATTGTGGATTTCCGCACATTTCCCTGAGACATGCAGGCCGACACCCAGCACTCTTTCGCCAATTCTGGGAGTGCTGCCTGCCACTTGCGTGCAACTCGACCTCTGCTACGTCCTTCCTGCGCTGCCAGCGTCGTGGCCCTACCAAGATCTACACGGAAGGTCGCGGAAGAGTCCGCGGAAGGCGTGGTGTTCGCGGAAGGCTTGCAGAAGGCTTTTCTGTAAACATGTTTGAAAATTCGCTTACATCATGGCCTAGAATTGTCTTTTAGCAACTGGCAAATTCTTCGGGACTGTATTGCTCACACCTAACACGCCGGCAACCAGAAGAATGCGCCCCATCGCTTCACCAAGCCGTTTCGGAGTGGAAGAGTCACGGAAGAGTCGCGGAAGCTCCGCGGAAGGCGACGGGTCTCTTGTACCTTCGAGCTTCACCCTTGTTGCTTCACCCTTAACCCTTGAACCTTACCCCCCCCCCCACCCGAACCCTGAACCCTAAAACCTGGGGGTTGGGGTACCTGGACTTCATATGTATTCAGGTTACTGATCTATGTTTATGGTCAAAGGGTGGAGTCGCGTATTGCCGCGGAGGGAATGCGGAATGCGCCGCGGAAGGGTCCGCTGAAGGGTTATAATGTTCATCGTTTCATGCTTGAGAAAAGCACCGCTCACTTGGATGTAGGTGTCAAGAAGGAGTAGGTGTTCTACAGCCCTGAACAGGTTGGCCATGCTGCCAGCCACCGTGCAAAGGCTCGGCTTACCTCGTCATCTTGCGCCACAATGTGGGAGTTTTCGGGCGTCCTGCTCCACAGGATCGGGACTCTTGTGGTGATGGATGAAATCTTCTACTACTCTCGCAAGGCTCCTGGGAAGACACAATGGTACCAGATCTTCTTTGGGCCGTAGTGTGATTAAACTCTCAAGAAGCCACAATCAGTCCCCCATGAATCCGTGAACGCCCAGAAGACTTACCTGAAAGGTAGGGATGAGCTTATCGCTATTTGCCCAACGGTTGCCCACCGTCGCCACCATCACAGAAGTCAAGCTGGTTCTTGGACCTGGCCACTATGAGGCAGGGCAGTGGACGTGTCCCATGTGCGCAGCGTGAGAGCAGACTGGCACAGGAGCCATCGTGGCCGGTGGATGGGGCACACATCTTTGTGACGGCCTTGCGTGCAAAGCTCCCCAGCTGATTGAGTACAGACACTACAGAATCCGAATTTTTTCCGCCACCTCGACCCATTGCTCGTTTCTAGTCCACCTCGACCCTAAGGGAGGAGCACCGATAGGCCCACCTGGAACACAGCAACAGCTTGGGCAAGTCTTTGGGCTATGCTCACACAACCACCAACGAAGCACGCTGACGGTGGCAGCGTTGTCACCTGGAAAACATATTCAGAGTAGATAGCCAGACTATGCGAACCACTAAACAGAAAAGGCGCTCGGGGTAAGCAAAACCAGCTCAGGTATAGGACAAGGAGTTTGGAGGGTTGGAAGCGCAGAGTCTGGAGCCTGAGGGTCACAAGACAGGAGATTGTCAACACAATTTGTGATGCCTCAGCAAACACATCGCCTCAATGAATCCATGTATCCCAAGTGAAGCGTTCAGAGTTGTCCTTGTGCAGAGCAGGCTCCCGAATCTGGAGCGCATTCGCATGAAGGTGCTTCTGGGTCCGTGCTCTTCTTTCCCACCTGAGCGGCATCCAGAACACTGACGCTGTCAGGTGCATGCAGAATCTGTTGCTGCGCCGCCACTGGTACCAATTCTTCTGGCATTGCACGCTAGTGGAATTGACACGCAGCTCTACCTCGAGGCGGGGCTGGCTCAGTTATCAAGTACCATTCGTGTGAGTCATCAAGTTTTCCATTTGTACTTGCGTGAACCTATCAGGCCCAGCCACCATTGAGGGACGTGCTTTGCAGCCACGCCAACATGAAATGCACGAACAAGGTGACCTTCTTGGAGGCTTTCTAGTCCGTTGACTGCGCTCTCTGATGTCGGACGTGGACTTCGCATCAATGTTCAGCACCTGGCACAAGGGGCAATGTCAAGGACTTTATGTGCCGACTGCACCGCCGACTGCCAAGCCGACTGCACTGAATCAAGATGCAAACCCGCGCCGGAAATGAGTCGATGATCCTGAGCTCATGTAAGCGCGAGACGGCACCATCGTCCCTTTATGTGTCTGTGCGTGTTGAACGACTGTGAAGATGCAAGAAGGGACCTACCAAAGAGTTCGAGCAGTGCTGCGTTGTGCAGTCGTCTTCTCGTTCTCCTACTCCCATGCACTGTCTCACCCCCGCTCTCTCTCTCAACCTCTCGAACTCGCCCTCACTCCCTCTCACCCTTCCCCTCCCATGTCGGACGCATTGATCCCACAGCGGCTGCCAAAAGGTTTGCGCTCAGCTTGCAGGCAAACACGCCTTTCATTGCCATGTAAAAGCCCTGGTCAAGCTGTGTGATGTAATGATGAGAATTGAAAACAAGGCGAATCGGCTTTGCACCTGCCCTGCAGCCGCAAGCAAATACTGGGCTGGGTCACAGGGCTCAGAGCTCAGCAAGACGTCTTGTCTGAGGGGCTCGGGATGGTTCCGGCATCTGCATCGACGCAGAGACGTTACCCAGGTCATTGGAGCCCCACCTCCGGCGGCGGTCTCAGAAATGACAACGCAAATTCTCATCGACTCCCTGCGCATTGAAGAGACCGCGCATGAGGGCGCAAATAAGTGCTCGCATCCGCGGGACAGTATGCCAAGGAGGTTCCTGCTCCTACCGTGCGCAACCTCGGAGCTGCGTTGAAGTTTCGCGGGAGCGAACCTGCAGAAAGTCGGATTGGCTGAAGTCCGCAAGAGTCCGTTGTCTGAGTGCAATCTCTCTGAGGTCGTGTACATCTGAGACTTTTCCCGCCAAGGTTGTAGTTCAGCGGCTTAGGCCTCGGATTAAGGAGTCGGCACTCCTACATGAAAGAAAGTGCAGCGAGACGTCGACAGCCAGCGCCTGCGCCGACAAAAAGACTTGTGGTCGCCATTGCCAGCATGCACACTTGTCCTTATTAGAGTGGTAGATGGTGGTACTGCTGTACTGCTTGATTTGTTTTGCAAGGTGATGTGGTGGAGGACTACGGCCGATACATTGACATACATTGCGATGTCGAGGCTGCGACTGAACAAGTAACGGAAATCCAGTCAGGACCCGGCCGCGTATCCTTTGCACTCTGCCAGGATCCCAGCTGTAGCTGCCAAGGCATATCTTTGGGGATTCTTTGGGGAATGGCGAGTGCGGCAATAACCTTGACGGAACGGATCAACGGTCGTAGACGAAGGAGGCCGGAGTCACAATGCCATTTGAAGCTCTGCACCCACAGCATCCAACGGCTACAGGGTAGTGCGTGAAGCTTCACACACGCAGTTCAACGCATTATACATTCTCAACCCTGTTCTTGCATAGCTACTACAGAAGACACGACATACATACGACAGCACGATCAAACTAGCTAGTTGACAAAGAAAACTCTACCACACGACAGATGGTTAAAGGGTTTCTATTTGATACCCGATCTTGCATAAGAGTGGGCCCGACAATCGTTGTGCTTGTTCCTGTTAGTCTGCCGCGAGAACCAAGTAAGTGCATCGCGTGCTGTTAGCGAAAAACAAAGATAATCGAATATTTCTTTCTCCACTCACATCGTTATGCAACATAGACGAGTGCGCACGACAGCGATGTGCAGACGACCGACTATGGTTGCTGGCATGCGAGCGCGTTTCCTCATGCATGCTTGAAGTCGACCCCCCTACGCCAAAACTGCAACGGAGGACGGTTCCCCTGCTGGTCCTTGGCAGAATGCATCGGCGAGCAGCTACCCTGAACCGATACGATAGCACAAATGCAGAGTTCAATGCGCAGTGGGCCTTATTGTTGGAGGATGCCCACTCTTCCCGCAGGCCCTCCCACACGGTACCCATCAGCAAGCTGGGTCCGGAAGTTGAACGAGATCCGATCAGCACACGTACCACTCCCCACATCCCCCAGGACAGGCAATGGACAATTCAGGTCAATATAGTCTGCCAGCAAAGTACCACTGAACAGGGCGCGAATCATTGAAGGGTTGGCATACTAACCACCTGGCATCACAGCACAACGCCGCTCACAAACAATCACAATCGCGTCCAAAGAGACATTCCATGTTCATGCCATTTCACTGGTGGCTGCCCCGTTGGTGAAAAGAAAACACTCTGAAGCTTTAAGAGAGGGCGGCCCCCGAGTCAACGACTCATTGTAAAACGATACAGAAAAAGGATAAGGTTTACAGGTTGACATGTGCGTCTGCGCAGTTCAAGGCTCACGGAAACGCTGCTTCTAGTACTGAGCTTGTACTACAGAGCAATGAAAACCCAGCATACGGAAACTTCGGTTCCCGTACTAAGCTTGTATTACAAAGCAATGACATTCCGATTCCAGTATTAAGCCTGAAGCGGTCTTGATTCAAATCGAGAACAGTGCCTTCTGTAGACGGGAGCCGCATGCCCAGTACTAAAGATGTACTACTTTGTAGCATCACAGCTGCGATGTCCGATGTGTAGTTTTGCCTTGTAAAACTCGTGGTATCAGAGAATACCGCTACCAGCAGCTTGAGAAACACGTGTCTTCTGGAATCAAAGACGTTTGGATTGATGTTCTGACCACCGACCATCATAAATGTTGAGAAAACTGCTGTTTGCCAATGCATTGTCGCAAGCAGCACCTTGGCATCGTAGCAGGGCGGATTCGGCTCCATTCGGTTCCAGTCGGTTCACTTCTGTTCGCAGACTGGCGTGTGGGAACGGACTGGACGACTTGTTTCGCCGGCAGGGCAGTCGAATGTAGGTTGGGTGGCAGTCGGATGGCTCGGAACTTCTTTCACATGGGTCACTGTCACTTTGGCGACAACTCTCCTGTGAGCATCAGGTGGAGGGGCAAATGCGTCTCGCCGGAGATTTATCCTTCCACCTTCGCGACTACGAGGCTAGGCCATCACAGTTTGTGATTGCTGCCGTCTTGCAACAGCTTGCGTCATGCCTTGAGTATTCCTTAACGATCATTGAGCTGCATTCTGAGCTACAGCTGCAGGCAGCCCTGAGCTACTACCGAAATGTACCATGCCCAGCTTCTTGCAGTTTGCAAGATTCTGCACTTCAACGACTTCAATGTACTGTTAAACTGGAAGGTTTTGCCTTCCATTGCAGAGCAAACTTAAGGGATGCACTATCCCATCCTGTCACCCTTTGCCGTTGTGCCCGTCTCTGCGAGGTTGTGAGCGACTTCAAGCAGGTCGGGTGTGCAAGCCTACCGCTTCTCGACATTTCGCGACAAAGTAGGTTAGCGACTGCGAAGGACCGAAGCTGGAAGCATGCCGCCGGTGCCTACGAAATGCTGGCGCCTCTGTGCCCATCCTGGCGGCATCGCTGCGAAGTGCCTGTTCGCAGAGGTGGGGTCTTTGTGCCTACGTCACCGGCGGCGCCAGAAGTGCCGGCCACCCAGCGTCAATGAGTCCTCCACCAGAAGAGCCCGAAGAGAGAAAAGCCGGAACACAGACTCTCCCACATCGCCCTCGAGCACAGGAATGGATGCGGTGCATGGAGAGCGCCTATGACCACTACCTCCAGGCTTCCTCCAGCAGATTGGCGATGCGAGCGCTTGGACTGCAGAGCATGTGGACTGTGTACCGTACATTGCCATCCTATAGCTGACCTACAATAGACTTGCGAACTTAGAAATCTTTCTGAATGGAGTGCTGCACATGAGATCAGGGAGAAGCGCCCCGAATGTCAATTGCCAACAGAATCAGCACGAAGCTAGAAGTTGTCAGATGAGTTTTCTGAGCTCTGTTGCTTTTGTTTGTAGTGGCCAACCGAGGTGGCATTACTCGAAAGTTTGCAAAGAGAGCACATGTCAAGCAGCAGAAAGCAGTCTCAACTCCAAAGCATACCTTGGCATAAGTAGCAGACTGATGTGCAGACCACACCCACACCTCGGGTCTGAGCTGGTCTTGCTTCACCGTAGGTTGTATTTTTTTCTTGGATCCTGGGCTGCAGTACATGTTTACCATGTGATTGTACATGGCTATCTAAGCGGGAATAGAGGGAAGCAGCCTTGAACTCGCCCCTCCACTGTCATGTGCACAGTCCCGGACGCAGCTTGGTGCAAGAGCATGTACCTGTAAGACTGTAAGAGTCAAACTGCAACGGCAACCGACGGCTTGCTACAAGAATCGAACCTTTGCAACAAGCCCGATACAGCGCTATCTTAAGCTTTCTGTGTTTTTGGGCGATGCTGCGAGGTTTTGACTGCTGCTGTGTTGCTTTCTGACTCTCCTGTCAGAGTTCATGCATGCCAACCGTTGGCAGGCAGACAGGGCCAGTTCATTCTTTCTTTGCACGGAGGGTGTGAAGACTCCCCTCCTCAACCCCGAGAGTGTTTTGATTGCCCGGTAGCATCATTGATGGCACTAGAAGCCTACTCCTCCTCAGCAGCAGCAGAATCAGCAGTAGAATCAGAAGTAGAATTATTGCCGGGCCAACAGCATGACCATTGCCACCACCGCCCCCAAGTGATCATCGAATCGACCAGTGTCCACTCGTCCACGATCTAAGGCCGTTGCACTGCACCAAGCGATGGTGTCTGATGTGAAAGAGGCTGCCCTTCGATTGATGAAGGCGTGTTGCAAGCTGGCATGAAAGACCGGACACAAGCCGGTAATGTATCTGCAACGTTGTCAGGTCAACGGAGACCTGGCCGACAACAACTTGAAGAATGCGCTGATCTTGGAACAGGCTGTGGAGCGAACAGGGTTAGCGCACTATTTTGGTATCTATATAGGCCGAATGCTTGTTGTGCCAGGCTGGTCAGCTCTACTATGCGAGTGGATCTGCCAGGCAACGGGAGCTTGCTACATATTGTAGTCAAAGCTCAATGTCAGGTTCATGATTGGGACTGCT